AAAACATGGTTCAGGGTGGGGGTGCAGGTATGGGTGCTATGAGAGCTGGAGAAGTTCAGGTAACCAGGTAGGAATTAGAGAAATGACACCAGTGTAAAGCTTTAAATGATAAGAACCGAGCCAGTGTTTGAGGAACTATGGGAAGCTCAGCATGGCAGGTGCATGTGGTACAAAGGAGTGAGCGGAGGTGCCGCACTGCATATACTGTGCTACAGGTGCTTTACTAAGGAGTGTGGATGTGACTCTGAAGGCACTAAAGAGCTACTGAATGGTGGACGGAGAAATCAACTGTGCTTGAACTGGAAAGGGACAAAAGGGCAGGGAGAGAAGGGCAGTGGTTGAAAGAATTCTTAGAACTCAGAAACAAATTAGTTGTGAAGGGTGAAAGGGAAAAAAAAAACAGGTTTTGTTCTCCTAGACAAAGTGTACCAGAACTCTTAGCCAGAATATGAAAACAAAAGTAATCTCTTTTGTTCTTGTGAGAAGATACTATGTCCAATTGTTCAAGATATGAAAAAAATGGAAAGCAAATCACATTCTTGAATGGGAAGACAATATAAAAAATACCAACGCTACCCAAATTAACTTATATATTTAAACTTTCCATTTAGAGTCACATCGAGATTCTTGTCTTTGAGGAAAGAGAATGATGAAAATTATTTCAGAGCTTATATGGAATACATGCCCAAGAACATCTAAGAAAAAGTATAAAAATAACAGTGAGGAGAGACTTGCCTTTCTGGATTTCAGAAATAAAAAGTTAATGATATGAAATGTGTGATGTTGCTATAAGAAGAGATAAACAGATGAGAAGATTAGAATACAGAATCAAGAATCCAGAAATCTCACTACGAAGAAATTTCACATATGACAAGTGTGCTACTTCAATTCAGTAAGAAAAAAAAGGATGATTTTTTAATAAATGGAGTTGGCACAACTATCCATTCACCTAATCCATCTGATGCATCCTATTTAGTACAGTAACCATGAGGCACATGTAGCCACTGAGCACATAAAATATGCCTAGTCTGAATTGGGATGTCATATAAGTAAAATATACACCAAATTTCAAAGACTTAGTAAGAAAAAAGAATATAAAATATCTCATTAACAATTATTTTAAATTAATTACATGTAAAAATATCTGTTTATATAATGGGTTAAGTTGGTGAAATTAATTTCACCTGTTTCTTTTTTACTTTTAAAAAATGCAGCCACTGCCCTGGCCGGTTTGGGTCAGCGGTTAGAGCGTCAGCCTGTGGTCCAGAGAGACCCGGGTTCGGTTCCCGCTAAGGGCACGTACCTCGGTTGCAGTTTGTCCCCGGCTGGCCCTGGTTGGGTTGTGTGGGTGGCAGCCACTTGATGTGTACCTTTCACATCGATGTTTCTCTCTCTCTCTCTCTCTCTCTCTCTTCCTCTCTCTCCCTCCCGCTCTATCTGAACAAAAAATGAAAAAATGTCCTCAGGTGAGGATAAAAAACACAAAAAAAAATCTGTGGTACATATACACAATGGAGTACTATGCAGCTGTAAGAAAAAGAGATATCTTATTCTTTAAGAGGACATGGAGGGACCTGGAAAGTATTATCCTAAGCAAAACAAGCCAAGCAGAAAAAGACAAATACCACATGATCTCACTTATTTGTGGAATATAATGAACATTAACAGTCTGAGGAATGGGGTAGTCCCAGAGACGAGGAAGTGGGGTACAGGCTGACAATCCCCAGAAAAGGGGGGGGGATGAACCACAGAACTTATATGCATGTATGCATGAACAATGGACATGGGCCACAAAGCTGGGGACAGGGCAGGGAGGGAGGGGGAGGGAGAATCAGTGGGGGGAAAAGGAGAAACATCTGTAACAAAAATAAATTAAAAAAATTTTTAAAAATAAAAAGGATTCTGATAGCTAAAAAAAAAAAAAAAAAAAAAGTTAAATGAATGCCCTGGCTGGTATGACTCGGTTGGGAGTCCTTCTGTGCACCAGGAGGTTGCTGGTTCGATTCCCAGTCAGGGCAAATACCCAGGTTTCAGGTTTGATCGCCAATAGGGGTTGTGCAGGAAGCAACTGATAGATGTTGCACTCTCACATCAATGTTTTTCTCCCTCTGTCCCTCTCCATTCCTTTCTCTCTTAAAAAGAAAAAAAAGAAATCAATAAACTATAAGGAAAAAAAAGTTATATGAAAAATATTAGCGCCCTGGCCAGTGTTGATTTAGTGTCATCCCATGCACCAAGAGGTTGCTGGTTTGATTCCCCACCAGGGTACATGCCTAGTACGAAGCATGCAGGAGGCAGCCAATTGATGTTCTCTCTCATCCATGTTTCTACCTCTCCCTCTCTCTCTAAAATCAATAAAAACATTTTAAAAATAAAAATATATATATTTGCAAAAATTTTTTACATTACATTTGAAATATCAGCACTGGCTCCACGGATGTTAAATAGACTATCTCATATCATGCTGGTGTGGGCATAAATAGGTACAACCTTAGGAAAGGAAGCTGGAAGACTCTTATTAGCCGTTTAAATTTTCTTGCCTTTGTCCAGAAACCTGTCCTACTACTATATGGCATGACAATCGAAACATGCATGTGCAAATATATCCAATCATTCTGTTACACACCTTAAATAATACTCTAAGTAAAACTGGGGAAAAACAGTACATGTACAAGAATGTTCACTACAGCCTTTTTTAAATAAGACTTGGGCAGAACCTAAATGTGTATTGTAAATAAAATGGCTGAATAAGTTATGTCTACACAATGAAGTAATAACACAGCCTTGCAAAAAGAATGAGGTAGCTCTATGCTACTGAACTAAAAAGAGAGAAGACAGTATGAAAAATAAAAAGGCCAAACTGAAGACTGTCTTTCTACGTTTGAAATTTTTCATAATTAAAAAATGAAAATAAGGGGGTGGGGTGGAGGAATCAGGTGCCTTGCCTTTTTCTGAGTCTCAGAAATCTGGACAGTTCAACCCTCTCCATCCCAATCCACTATACATGGCCTCCCACCAGTTTTCTCCCGGCACTGCTAATATACTCACTTCCTCTATGATGGCTCATGAATTTTAAGCCATCTTCTATTTCCTTTCCTGATATAAAAACAATATTAAAAATGAAAGTTTATAAATTTTCATATTAAAAATCATATGATTATTTTAATTCATTTTTTGCATTTCCCTGTATTGAAAATCCTTTGGTATAAATCAACATTATAACACTCATCACTCCCCCTGCGAAGCCAGGCTAAAAGAGGCTGACTGCCCCATCACCTTGCCTTAGAACTGAGGCATTCTGTGAACCAGAACAAGTATGCTGCTACAATTCCTAACGGCCCAATAGCAAAAAGAAATTTAAAAAGTTAATAAATGTAATATTCTCAAATCTAATCCTCTTCAGTCATTGGCTACCGAAAAAAGAAAAATGAACAAAAAGCAAAAGGACAGTAAAGAAAAAGTAGACCACCTGTATTTAGCATGTGTAGTGAGAAATCTATGTAACTCACACATTTGAGTATTTTCTGTAAGTACACAGTTTCTGGCTCCCAGGATGAAAGGCTAAATACCAAAGTGTTTGCACAGAGCATCACAACTTACACAGGAACACGTCAGCCATTGGCTATTGCCATCGGAGGATACACCAAAACTGGTTCCTCTTTCAGTCAGCATTCTGCGTGCCAAGCGCTGGGGGGGAGAAGGCGGGGCAAGCTGCCTTCTGAACCGGCGGGGTCCCACACGCCTAGCACGAGCTCCTCCCACCCTCATCACACCCTCTTCCTCCAAAGTCACGGGCCTGCGAAGCTGCCAGCAGCAAGGGCGCTGTAATGCAGTCTGGAGTCCACACAAGCACCATCTACGCTCGTGGAGAAGCTCAAGTCACAGCCCCAACAGTGGGAGGAACCGGCCCTGGCTCGCACGCAGCTAACGGGCGTTTAGGACGCTCGCGGGCGGGCGGACAGGCGGCGCGAGGCCTGGGGACCCACAGGTGAGCAGCAGAGGCGCAGTACCAGCTCTCTCGGGGTTCCCATCCGGCGGGGACGAAGATCATTTCTTCCACGCCCGCCTAGCAGGAGTAGGGCGAGGAGCACTTGAAGCCAAGGCCGGGAGAGTTCACGCCTTGAATGGTAAAAAGGCTAGCCCCCAAGTAGTCGGAAGTGACGTTTCCGCAGACCTGCAGGTCCGCCACGTTAAGTGGCCGCCGCCTCCACTGGCCACCTTCTCCCCGGACTGGCCTGCAGAAGATAAGTGTAGCTCAAAGTCCGCCACGCGCCCCACCCCCGGCAGCTCCCAGCGCCGCCCGGAACCAGCGGGGCCGAGCCCAGCCGAGCCCCTGCAGCCGGACCGGACAGCCTCGCCTGCGCACGCCGTCGGCGCCCGGCGGGCAATGGGCTTCAGAGCTCAACCACGCGCATGCGCGGCCCGCTCTCCGGAGGCTTCCTCGGGTCACCTGGACGACCACTTTTCAGCCACCTGCCCCTCCCGCTCGCTTCTCGCCCCAGAGTCCTGCCGCTGGTTCTCACCGCCGACCTCCGGCCTCCCGTCTCCTTCCACCGCAGCGAGCACTGGGCCCTCGCGCGGCCGCCTGCTGACTCGCGGCTCCCACAGACACGAGCCTCCCGGCGCGACTTCCGCTTCCGGCGAGTATTGTGTGTCGCGCTGCGGGGAGGGGGCGGGGGGAGGAGGAAGGAGGGAGGCAGCGCTTCGGCGGCTCTGCACCCCGCACTACCGGACCCGAGGCCGGGAAGGTAGGTGCCGTCCCGCCGCCGCGCCCGGGCCCAGGGGCCTGCCCCGCCAGCCGGCTCCGCACGCCGCGTCCCAGCGCCCCGCGACTGCGTCACCGGCCCGGCACCTAACCGCTGCTGCCTCCGCCCGCTCGGGCCCGGGCGGGCGTTTTGCCGCCCCGGCGACGTCAGCGCGTCCGGCGTTGCTTGGCTACCCCGCCGTTCCCCCGTCCCGCTGCAGCTCGCCTCCCCGGCGAAACTCGACGCCGTCACCGCGGGTCTCGGCCGCGTCCTAGCGGCGGGCACCCCACCTTCACGTCACACTCACCTGGACGCGCATCCCTCCCTCCCCGCCAGCCTCCCCCTCTCCAGCCCCCTGCGCCGGACTGACGGGAGAAGATGGAGACGGGGGTGGGACCGAGTTGTGGACCACGCTGAGGAGAGGGTCGCAAGGTGGGACCCCGGACAGTGGTAGAAGCAAAATGAGGACGTGCCTGAAGTTTGCGCTTCTGCAGAGACACGAGGAATAGTGGGAAAGAAAGAACCAACCCAGAGGCGCCCAAGGCCCCAAGTCCTCTCCATACTTCCCTAACCGTTTCCCCCTTGTTTTAACACCACTGTTTGCCTGTCTAGTTCCCTAACTGCATACGATTCAACTCGCCCCAGGTGAGGAGGCCACCTGATTTCCAGAAGACTGGGGAAGGGGCAGGGTCACTTACTCCATGGGGTCCCATAGGTGGGGAAACATCTGACTGAAGTCTCTCCTGGTTGAGGGAGGAAATGGAGGTCCAAATACGTTGCTACAAATTAACATGTGTGCCATCAATATATACTGGAATAATAATCGTTGTTAACCCAACTCATTAGAGGGCCACTTCTCTCTCAGCACATAGACCTACTATTCTTCTTTTGGGTCACTTGGAGGTGAGGGAGGGTGGACAGGAAAGGTCATGGGCATAGAGAAATCAGCCATTTCATGGGTAAACTTGCTGTTTTAGGGGACTAGCCTTCTGCATTATAAATCTCTTGGATGCGTTTCCAATTCTTTTGAGGCTTCTCTTAAGGGAGGTTTTGATTGCCTCTTTACTTTTCTTTCCAACCACTCCAGTACTTGTTAGCTGAAGGCACAGTGCGTCCAAGGAATTAGTTATCAGTAACCATTTCATAACACTCCAGTCACTGCTGAATATTTAAAATAGACCTTTCAGCCCTCTTTTCAAAAAGTTATTGGCCTGGGCTCAGTAATACACTCTTTAGTATAGTTGCCATGAATTTATCACTTTTCAACAGTTCTAAATGTCCAAATGCACAAGTAGAAATCGGATGTTGTGTGAATAATCTCATTCCAAGAAGAGGGCACACTTCCTCTAGACTAGTCTGATAAAAGGAAGAAGAATATCAAACTGTCCTGGAAAGAAGAGGTTGTTACCCTTCCCTAATTCTGTTTATTACCATTTGAAAGAGTGAGAGAACAGTGGCAGAGAATCAGTCTTAGGCTCCAGTGGACTATTGTAATAAAATTCTTCTGTAATATTAAACTTTAAAATATACCTAATTTAAGAAATCTTAATACTTTGACTTTTATGGCACTTTGCATTTCCCAACCTCCTTTCTCATCTATTAGAAATATATGTCAAACTAGACATATATTGGTTTAGAACTATTAATTTTAGGATAGAGTGGAATGGGCCTGGATCAGGAGAAGTGCATGCTGGACTGGAATCGAAGGGAGCCTCTGTTTCTAACAAGGGAAAGCAGGGTAAAGACAGAAGAGATTGGGGGTTGTGAGCCACAAGTTTTGGAAGTGGAGAAACAAAAGAGGTTGAATCTAGCAAGATGTAAAATAGTAACATGGGACTAAATCTGGAATTAGGAATTTTACATGTGGGTAAATATTGGGGCGGGGATGGAAAAAAAATGTTAAACCTCCAACTAACATTTTTCTCCACCCTCTTCCTATCCCTAAGTTAAATAATGGCAGAGACAAGTCTATTAGAGGCTGGGGCCTCCGCAGCCTCCACAGCTGCAGCTCTGGAGAACTTACAGGTGGAGGCGAGTTGCTCTGTGTGCCTGGAATATCTGAAGGAGCCTGTCATCATTGAGTGTGGGCACAACTTCTGCAAAGCTTGCATCACCCGCTGGTGGGAGGACCTAGAGAGGGACTTTCCTTGCCCTGTCTGTCGAAAGACCTCTCGCTACCGTAGTCTTCGGCCTAATCGTCAACTAGGCAGTATGGTGGAAATTGCCAAGCAGCTCCAGGCTGTCAAACGGAAGATTCGGGATGAGAGTCTCTGCCCCCAGCACCATGAGGCCCTCAGCCTTTTCTGCTATGAGGACCAGGAGGCTGTATGTTTGATATGTGCAATTTCCCACACCCATCGGGCCCACAACGTCGCACCACTGGATGATGCCACACAGGAGTACAAGGTGGGGAACCAGACACACGATGTCAATGTAGGGCAAAAGGGAGGAGCACAGAGGAGGGGCCTCTCTGGGTAGAGGATCACAAGCTCCTGAGGGCGAGGCTGGATCTGGCTCTCACCCATAGTCCCTCGCAGTTGTGCACTCGAGGGCACGTGGTGCATTTGACCAATTACCCTCAAGCAGAAGAAGGGTGATGGCGAGAAGTGCGCTAAGATTTCTCTCTGACCTTTCTAACACATTTGAGTATGAGTGGTCTTGGGCTGTAACATATTTTTATAAATGAATGAGACCACATGGAAAAGATCAACATTAGGAAGAACTGAAAAGTGATCTGGATTCCCCATTCTGCCCCGCTGCTCAGAATGCCCCTTCTCTTCCCATTGGTATTGGGAATAGTGTCATTTCTACTTAAACTGATTGCCACCAAACGAAACTGAGCCACTCTGTTATTTGCATCTTCCCCAGATAATGGTAATGGATAACATGACATCTGGGTTAAATAATCGTTGGGTCACAGGGCAAATGATTTAGTAACAGAAACCGGAGATTTTAATGTCTTAGCACTTTATCAAGTACTCTGTTTAATTATGTTAATGAAATCTTGGAAACAGGATTTAAGGTCATTCATAGTATAAGTAAGATTTTATTATATTTGCAAGTGGTTAGAGTTGGATAGGAATACAAATTTAAAAGGGGACATCGGGGTCCAGAAGGTCACATTGACAGTAATAGGCATTACTCAATTTAGAAGATGGATAGGGTTGGTGACCACTGGACCCCTGAGATCAGTAAGAGGACAGTTTGAGCAAGGAAGGTGATAGGGGCAGGCTGGTGCCAGGAGGAGGGACCTGTAAGAAGTTGACATAGAAAATGACAAGCAAGAAAGGGATTTGGATCAAGAGGTGGTGAGACGGGTAGTATGTAAACAAATAGTTTAAAACAAATGGGTTAACCTCTGAATGTAGGCTGTGCCAGCCAACCCCAGATGCCACCTCTCCCACTTCCGACCCCTCAGGAAAAACTGCAGAAGTGCCTGGAGCCCCTGGAGCAGAAGCTACAGGAGATTACCCGCTGTAAGTCCTCTGAGGAGAAGAAGCCTGGAGAGCTCAAGGTAAAGGCAGACGGTCCCACTTGGGCTGCGCTGCAGGCAATTAACCAAACATTAGCCACACATCATTTAATCCACCAGTTCTGGTTCATTAGAAAAATGCTGTACTCTCAGAAACAATGGCATTTTCATAGGCTTGTCATTAAATATTGTACTTAAATTACTTGTCACGAATTAGGTACTGAGGAGAAAGATGGAAGAAGTGATGGACAGACAGAATGTCTTACGTCTGGCAAGTTGAGGGAGTTCGTGCCTGTTGGTCTCCTTTTCTTTGTACAGCAGGGAAGGAGGCTGCTCTGCTGAGAGTGCAGAGATTGGAATTTCTTAGCGGGATTGAGGAGAGAAGAGTTGGGAAGGTTCACTGGGGAGGAAGGGAGAAGGAACTGACCGAGAGCTTCCAGAACTGCCCAGTGACTTTAGGACCACATTCTCTTAATTCAAGTAAGCTCAAGAATGCAGGGTGATGTTCCTAGTATGTTCTTCCCCTCCCCATCCTCTACCGATAGGATCCTATCTGTCCTACCACAAGCGTGAAAGCCACTTTCTATGCAGTTTTTCCTGACCCTTGAAAAATTAGCTTTCTTAATTTTCATACACTTTTACATTTCTTTCATAACACATTTGTAGCGTGATGTTTTGGTATCTAATTTTTTCTAATAGTCAGTGAATAAGTATTAATAGTAACAGTAATAATAACTAGTACTTATTGAATTCTGTGCACTAATTCATTGGGTGTTCATGACATTACAAGCTTACAGAATTGTATTAGGTCTTAGGGTTCTGCCCTGGTTGGAATTCTGAATTCAGCTAGAGTTGACACAAGTGGAACATAGAGAAGCCAGAAAAGGGGAAGGAAATCCTAGAGGTCATCTTTGGCAAGTGTGAACTTAGTTCCTTGTAAAGTAGGTGTTATTACTCCCAGTTTACACAGGTGGAGACAAAACTTGGATAGTCCAAGTGTAGTCTAAAATCGTACAACCAATTTATAGCAAAACTAGGGATGCTAGCTCTGCATGAATCAATAAATATTAAGTTTCCAATTGAGGTCAAACCATGTATTTGACACTGCGGAACAATGGTGAACAAAAACAGCCCCTGCCCTCCTTGAGTATATAGACAAGTAAATAAAATAAATAATGAGATGGTATGAAAAGTATGGGTGCAAGTTCATGAAAAGACAACATAGAAATTTGACCTCATTAAAGGATTCCAGAAGAAATAATGAGCTTTTGGTGTTGAGATATAGGGATCACCAGAAATTAAACACATATTTGAAAATAGTAGAAACACTAATTTCTTAACAATGACATTTCAACAGAAAGCAAGTATTGTTACCTTAGTCCTTTATACATTTTAACAAAGCAAACATTTGAATTTTTTGTTGTTAATACTCACCCAAGGATATTTTTTCCATTGATTTTTAGAGTGAGTGGATGGGAAGGAGGGAGGGGGAGTGAAAGAAACATCAATGTGAGAGAGATGCATTGACTGGTTGCCTCCTGCACCCGCCTTGGCCGGAGCCCAGGATCAAACCTGCAACCCAGGTTCGTGTCCTTGACCGAGCATCGAACCCACAACCTTTCAGTGCATGAGCCAACACTCTAATCCCTGAGCCCACACCAGCCAGGTCTGAATTTTATTTTTTTAATCCTCACCAGAGAATATTTGTCTGTTTATCTTCAGATGGAGTGGGGGCGGGTGGAGAGAAAGAAACATTGACATGAGAGGACACATCGACTGGTTGCCTCCCACACAGCCGGACCAGGGCGGGGTATGAACCACAACCGAGGTACGTGCCCTTGATTGGAATTGAACCCTCGACTCTTTGGTCTGCAGGCCGATGTTCTAACCACTGAGCCAAATCAGCCAGGCTGAAATTTTTTTAGTTGAACTAATTTTTTTTTTTCTTTATTGATTTTAGAGAGAGAGAGGAAGGGAGAAATAGAAACATCGATGAGAGAGAACATCGATTAGCCCTCTCCCACATGCCCCCCTCTGGCGATCTGGCCCACAACCTGGGCATGTGCCCTGACTGGGAATCAAACCAGCAACCTCTTGGTGCATGGGTCGACGCTCAACCACTGAGCCACACCGGCTGGGCTAATTGAACTACTTTTGATTGCAAAGGTGAATTTAAAAAAAAAAGTTCTTTGATCTTTTGGAGGGCTCCTGAGAAACTTAAAAATAGGTGAAAATGAAGCTTCTTCCCAGTCATTAACTTCCTCTTCCTGTTGATCTTCTTCTTAAAGATAAAGGATAGAGAGGGGAATAAAAATTTTAAAACCCTCTAAATACTTAAACAAAACTGTGGTGTTTAATGCCCTTCACCCTGGCCAGTTTGGCTTAGCGGTTACAGCGTCGGCCTGCAAACCAAAGAGTTGTGGGTGGCACTTAACCTAGGTTGCAGTTCGTCCCTGGCCCTGGTCAGAGTCATGCAGGAGGTAGCCAATTGATGCATTTCTCTCACATCGATGTTTCTTTCTCCCACTTACTCTCCCTCTCTTGCCCCCTCCCACTCTATCTGAAGATATTTGAAAAAATATCCTCGGGTGAGGATTAAAAAATAAAATTGTAATGCCCTTTTAATAATTTGTAATTAACCATGCTGAAATGAAAATTATTCATAAAATTATCTACATAATTTTGAAAATTCCGGGTGGTCATGTCCAAATATAGTATAATATAATTCAACGAGAAGAAAAGCAATGTGTAAAAAAATGTGCTGTGTAATATTTGGACATGACCACCCGGAAAGACTACATTGTAGCTGTGTCCTTGCGCCTACCTGTGGCATCACCCACAATGCAACAAGAACAGGTTCAGACTGAGGCAGCTGTGTAGTCATGTGGACTCAACTACCACAAGCAACTTAGCTCTTGGTGACATAATTTTTCAAAATGATAAATAACTTTTGGTAAAGTTCTAAGAAAAACAAAGTATAGTTTTAATCAGCTATTCCTGAAAAATTTAGGCATTATTAAAAGTGTATACGAATCACTGTGTTTATATGTAAAATAACACTCAAGTTCAGGCCTATGTTTTTGAATATCCAGTAGCACATTAGAAAATGGTGCCGGACAGTTCATTTTGCAGGGTTGTCTCACATTGGAAGAGCATCCCCAGTCACCACAAACAAGAAAATCACCCCCACTCCCCATTTCCAGAATATCCCTAGAGGGAGGTAACACCCTCCTTAAGAACCACTGTACTACAAATACAGAGTAAAAAAGAAGGGGTTATGGGTTACACAAGGGAGAGCCATTTTGCTTCCTGTTTATTACAGTTATGAATCTTAAATTCTACCCATTCATCACCCCCAAAACACACACACACCCAGGATGTGCTTGACCTAAGGGTACATGTTGTGGGAATTATTTTGTTCCCATGTGGGCCTGAGAAGGCAGCAGTGAAATGGAGCATCAGACACTCCACACTGGAGCTAATCAGCCTCCCCTGGCAACCAGCTTGAAATGCAGAAACAGCAGGCTTTCGAGGCCCACCCTGGCTCCCAGGCCCACTCTGTTTACCCTCAGCCCTGCCTTTCAATCCCTAGCCACTTCCTTCTTCCACAGGCCTAGTGTCTGCTTCTCACTTTGCTCCCCTCTTGGGTTGATTCCTCCCCATCAGCCACATGATGCTTAGAGAAGTCTTATTTGGGGAGATCACTAGTAGTGGAAGTACAGAAGGAGGGTGTGCTTGCTGATAATCCTCAGAAAGGGTTATGGCTGGTGTTTGAATCCTGTATTATCAAATTCCAGGAAGGTAAGGTTCAGGTTTATGTGCTTGCTGAGAGAAAGCATGCTTCAAATTTCAAGCAACTCACTGAGGAACTTTGGAACCTGTTCCTGGAATGGCAACTACCAGTTCTCTGAAGTGACTTGTAACTACTTAATAGGTGCAGCTCTGAAATCTATATATTTGTAACAGCCCATTACTAAAATCTTACTGATGCTGATACTTTTCCAGTTGGTTCTGTCTGGTAATGTTTTTACGAGGTAGATATCTTGCAACATATAAATGATAACAGTCTTATTGCTTAATTTTCCAGTATTTATACTTTCTTTTTCTTAACAAATTAACAATAGCTAGAACTTTATCATCAGATAGGTCATATATTTCTCATATCTGAAATAGTTTTTCATTATATTATTGAGTTCTTATGTCTTGCATTATTTTTCCTAAAACATAAAAGCACAGCTTTTTAGAGGTTACTATAATTAAAGAAAATTAAAACTTTTTTAAACATTGATTTTTATCTCCCCAGTGGTCTTCACTCCCAAGTCATCAGTGAGAGTGATGGCGGGGATAGAGCCATTCTTTATAGAAGGAAACTGCAGTGGAGAGAAACATGAGTGTCCTATTAAGCTGTTTTTAATGACACCAGAATCTGTGTTAATTCATACACATGGCAGGTGGGGGAATGGGCCCTATGCCCCACTGGTCCTGCTGAATGTAACACCCTCTCTCTTTTCTCAGAGACTGGTGGAGAGTCGCAGGCAGCAGATCTTAAAGGAATTTGAAGAGCTTCATCGGCGGCTGGACGAAGAGCAGCAGATGTTGCTTTCACGACTGGAGGAGGAGGAACAGGACATTCTGCAGCGCCTCCGAGAAAATGCTGCTCACCTTGGAGACAAACGCCGGGACCTGGCCCACTTGGCTGCCGAGGTGGAGGGCAAATGCTTACAGTCAGGCTTCGAGATGCTTAAGGTTCGACCTTTGCCCCTGCGTAGCCCCTCAGGTCGGGCACAGTATAGCTTTGCACAGGCCGTTCTGTCAGCCGAGGATGCTCACTCCTCTGCTTTGCTTCTTTAAACCCAGTTCTTTCTTCTAGACATACTCAAAGGATCTTTTTCTACAGTAAGGTTTCTCTGGTATCTCCCATTTCCTTCTAATCATTTCTGTGTTCTTATGTCTTGTCAACAATTATGTGCTGAATTTGTACCAAAGAAAAAAATCCACTCTTTTGAAAGGAGGGAAGTCTAGTTTGAATTCATGAAAAAACTATGCATTAAAAAGTGTGTAAATGCAGTTACAATTACTTTTAAGTCCTGGAACTTGATTTACCTAGTGCTAAAAAAGAATAGAAACCTAGTTTGAAAGATACTTGAAATTATGTGTAAAAATATATATATTGTTTTTGATATGTAAATGCTTCTATAATGTTTGAAATCATTTGTTCTCTTAAGCAGATGCATGGTGTTAGCAAGGCTGTAGGAAACATGTTTCTTCCCTTAGTGATCAGACCACAGCATTTGAATCAGTGAGGCGCCGTTGTACATTGATCCGCATGCTGATGTACTCCTTGGTGTTTATTCTTATGACCTTTCATGTATGTGTGTTCTGCCTTCCACATTAAACTGGGAAATCCTGGGGGGCAGAGATTTGTCTTCTTTGTCTTCTGGACCCCAAGTATTCACAAATCAGAACTGGCACACAGTTATTGATGTTATTAATCAATACCAGATGGGGATATCAAACCATAGTGGGAAGTATGACCTGTTCCTATACCACCAATCTGGCGCTATCTTACTGATCCTCAAGGAGACAGGTGTGTGGTTGGTACTTGGGGGACAGAGTGAAGAGCAGACACAATCCCTGTACCCTGCATTGAGCTCCCAGTGTCCTTGAGGAGCAAAGACAAACATACAAGAGATCATTTGGAAGTGATAAAAATTGCCAAGCTTCATGATGACCAGAAGTTGAAAGTGGGGATGAGGCTGGGAGAGATGTATCTAGATCCTTCGGGAGTTCTTGCATTGTGACCCTCAGTTTGCCCTATTCCAATTTTAGAGATCTAGGACTTTGGGGAGGAGGGGGAGCCTTTTGCCTGTAGGACCCTTGACTACCAGGACCAATATTGCTTTCTTTTCTCCTTCCCTCTAGGATGTCAAAAGTACCCTGGAAAAGTAAGTGATTCCTGCATCTCTTTAAGTGAGTTAGGTCTTAGCTTAGAGACTTAGGGTACAGTAAGGAGTTGGGGGAATGAGGATGGACAGTCATGCAGCTTCTGGGTAGGATATGGGAAAAGGTTTATTATATCCATGAAGCTAGTTAGGGAGCAAACCATTGGGATTAATAGCCCCTTATTTTCCCTTTGAGCATCAGGACTTCCTTGTTATGGAAGATACCAAGATAATGTAGAACCTGATTCTGCTTGTGTCTTTATGTGGAATTGTGTCCAAATAAGGTGGAAGAAGAAAGGGGTTGGGAGGGGGGAGGATAATCACCAACTTGCATGAAATCTAACCCTAACCCCGGAAAGTTCTGAGATTCATTCTTAAGGATTTGTCCAGGGTACCATATGACTCTCCCTAGATTAGCAAAAGAAAGCAATATGCAAGTGCTTGTCCTCAGGAAGGAGGGAGAAAGTGGGAGGACGGAGCTTCTCCTGACCCTCCCTTTCTTCCCCTTTCTCCCTGTCCCTCCTAGATGTGAAAAGGTGAAGACCATGGAGGTGACTTCAGTATCCATACAGCTTGAAAAGAACTTCAGCAATTTCCCCCGACAGTACTTTGCCCTAAGGAAAATCCTTAAACAGCTAATTGGTGAGTTGTTCCCAAAAGGAAAGTAGCAGAGGGAATCAGCAGAGAGCAGAAAGGCTTTAGGTCCTACTTGATCTGGGCTTCAGTTATCCCAGCTGTCACTTTCCATGCCCATGCCCATACCCACCCTTTACCTGGCTTTGGGCCACTCTAGGTCACAGAACTCACAGTGAAAGTCTCAGGTATCATCTGCTCTTAGACCCATACTTCTGAATAGGAACCCAGAAAGGTTAAATAATTTGCCTAAAAGTGGTACGCTCTTGAGAATGAAAGGGGATGTCATTAATATTTACTCAGAGAAGATAGTCATAAATCAGGACTGTTCCAGGAAGACAAATATCAGGTCACCTTATCTCTAGACCCTGATGATGTCTTCTCTGTATCCTTAACACACATTTTTCATTCCTTCTCACCCTTGAACTGTGCCTGGTTCTTCTCTGCACAGTGAGACAGATGATGATGTCAGAGGCAATAAGAGGAGAGACCAGGCAGGAGGAGGCTAAACCACCAGCCCTTGTGAAGGCAAGAGGGCATTATCCCCTTATTTTAGGGCCAGGGTAAGAAGTGAAGCCAGTGTTCCCTCCCCTCCCTTAGGTGACACCATGGATGGAGAAAGTTAACCAAACCATGGTGTTCGGGGGACCTTTAAGGGAACAGGCTCTGTAAGGCAGGCTGGAAGAGTGAGGCAGGGGCGTTGAGCTATTCCCATCCTCATCTAGCTCCCCACTCTGGCTTCTCCCGCCAGCGGATGTGACCCTGGACCCTGAGACTGCTCATCCTAACCTAGTCCTGTCAGAAGATCGTAAGAGCGTCAAGTTTGTGGAGACAAGACTCCGGGATCTACCTGACACACCACGGCGTTTCACCTTCTACCCATGTGTCCTGGCTACTGAGGGTTTCACCTCAGGTCGACACTACTGGGAGGTGGAGGTGGGCGACAAGACCCACTGGGCAGTGGGCGTGTGCCGGGACTCTGTGAGCCGGAAGGGCGAGCTGACCCCACTGCCTGAGACTGGCTACTGGCGGGTGCGACTCTGGAACGGGGACAAATATGCAGCCACCACCACGCCTTTTACTCCTTTGCACATCAAGGTGAAACCCAAGCGGGTGGGCATATTTCTAGACTATGAGGCCGGCACACTGTCTTTTTACAATGTCACAGACCGCTCCCATATCTACACCTTCACTGACACTTTTACTGAGAAACTGTGGCCCCTCTTCTACCCAGGCATTCGGGCTGGAAGGAAGAATGCTGCACCACTCACCATCAGGCCCCCAACAGATTGGGAGTGACAGGTAGGGATGTGGGAATAACTGGGATGAGGCAGGATCAAGAGCTATGGGCCTGCCTTCCTGTGACCTGCTGGAACGTCTTTGTGTCTGCCTGGTTCCAGTCCTGAACCATCTGGGAGAAACACCTTGGTTTCTAGAATGGTTTATGTGGGAGAGTAGGTAGGACTGGTCTGAGAGCACAGCTGTCTCCTCCTGTCAAGTGGGGAGCAGGTTCCCAGGGGATTCTCTGCCCAGAAGCCCATCAGGTTTTCTGTTGCACAGGATGGGTTGGGAAGGAAGGAGAGGCTTTTCCAGAAACAAAGAGTCTGGGAGGATATGACATGCTCAAACCAGAGAAGGAAAACCCCTATACGTTCTTTTTGGGGGTACTTTGACCCAGAATAGCTGTTTCTTGAGGAAGAGCACAGGGTATGTAATACCTCTAGATTGAAATAAAAATGAATGACAGTTGCTCTCATGGGTCTAGAAGATATGAGGAGTTTTTTTGAGGGCAGAGACTGGGCATCAAGAAGGTAAGAAAGAAGGTCAGGGAAGGGGGCTAATGGAACAGATTCCTAGAGACTAGGGAAGGGGAAAGGAGTTTCTTTGGTCTTCTATTCCCAGATTAAGGTTGCCATTGTGAGTTGCATTGACCAGAGGTAGCAATATGAGGAGGAGACGGTGAGAAGAAAGAAGAGGAGAACCCAGGCCCCTGTCTCCGTCTTCAACAGAGCTGGCTTATTGCCTGCCTCTGTATAGTTGATCGTCTCCAAGAAGTCTATCACCTTGCTCTAGGGGCAAGGTGCCAGAGATCCTGCAAGACAGTCTGCCCTTTTACTGCTTTCCCAAGGGAACTTGGAAAGGAGAGAGTCAGGTATTAAAGGAAAGAGAAAATTATTTCTATCCAAAGCTCTGGCCTTAAGGAATGTTACTAAATAGTTACTCCTAAGTTGTCAGCCTTATTAGCTGGTTAAGGTGTCCAAGCCAGAAAGGAGAAAGGAAATGCAGTCTTCCTTACTCTGAGGACAGGGTAGAAGAGGGTGGTATGTGTAGGGAAGGACCAGATGGGCAACTTCCTTGTGCCTGGAACTAGTGATCACAAGAGCCAGTCTTTTGCTTGTTTGCTGCCATCCTTTGCCGTTTGCCATTTCCCCTATCAGAGAATGTAATCATTTAATGTTAGGCCAAAATAACCTGTAGGTTACATATGTTGTCACAAAAGGCAAAGCAATGCATGCCAAACCATACTGAAATGACTTGGACTATCTGCTGCTCGGGTAATGGGGTTCACAGAAGGTTGGGACAAGAAACCAGTTTAGTGAGGGCATTTCAGTTCCTCCTACCACCTCAACAGGACTTTGTCCAGACTCTCTTACCTTTGTGCCTTGACTGTGGTTCTTTGTGGCAAGATGCTTTGATTGGTAAAACAATATGGAACAAAGGATCCACTGAAGTGATCTCTGTGTTGTGTGGTAATTTAACGACCACCACTGTTGATGTGTAAGAATCACTGGGTGTTGAAAATGCATGTTCCTGGGCTCACCCTGAGTGATTGATCAAGGTCTGTAGGCCTGGGCATCTACATTTTAAGCATACTCCTTTCATTTGAGTCAGGGACACTTGTGAAACTCATCCGGGAAGAGGTTTCAGCCACTTCCTCTGAGCTGGAGGCCTGGTCCCCTACCCAGCCTGATGGGGTCTGAGAGGGAGAAAGGCTTCACCCTCCCATGACTTAGGCTGTCCTTTCCCTGTCTCAGGGTCCATTCATGTTCTGCCCCTCCAGCTCACATCCCTCTACTCTGACCTCAAAAATTGGTGGTCATTAACTATGAAGCAGAGGTGTAAACAGGATGCCAAACAAAACAAATGGGAGATAGGTCAGAAGGAGGGATTGTGGTCCAGGTCTGTCTGTGTTGGAGGTGGAGTGTGGTTTCAGGGGCAAGAGATGCTGTTGTCAGGTTTCTGTACTCCACTACCTAAGAATAGGAGTTGGTGAGGACCACCTACTGTGTGTTTAGCACTGCATAACGGGAAATGTGTCTGGTTAAGTGGAAGAGAACTGTGCTGAGGGCCCAGAACGCTGTTCCTTCCCTCCACTACTCTCATGATCTTTTCCAATTTCACTTCCACTGGTACCAGTGATACATTTTTTTTGTAATGTATAACTTCTGTTCCTTCTATCTGTAGATCTTCTAGGCATCCACCTTTGGCTTCAAAGAGTAGGGCAGAAGGTCTATCTGGATATAAATAGCACACAGCCATCTCCCCAAGCTAGCTGCATACCCGTCTTCTGTCCTGAAAATGTATAGCAGTTTGAGATCCTCTCCTGTTCCACCAGCCTCTCCAGTCTCTACCTAGTATAACTGATCATGGGCTTGAAGACTAGAACTCATAAAGGAAAACTGGCTTAGAATGCAATCCAAACCAATGGGTCTGTGAGGCCCTTGGGTGGCGCTTGGCAGGCCCGGGAACTACAATTCCCAGGAGCCCTTGCGGTGACGCCGGGGCGGGCCTACCCGAGGGGCGGGACCCGCGGCCCTCCTTGCTCAGGCGCTGGCGCGCGCGGCGCACACAGTGATGGCCGGCCCAGTGAAGGACCGCGAGGCCTTCCAGAGGCTCAGCTTCCTGTACCAGGTGAGTCCGCGTAGGGGGCGCTCAGGCAGGGGACCGGTGCCGCAGGCCCCGCGTGACCTCCCACTCCCCTAGGCCGCCCACTGCGTGCTCGCGCAGGACCCCGAGAACCAGGCGCTGGCGAGGTTCTACTGCCACACGGAGAGGACGGTCGCCCGGCGGCTCGTCCTGCGGCGGTGAGAGGCGCGGAGCCGGGCGGCGGGCGGGGCGGGCGGGACGGAGGGCGGACGCGCGGACCACCCTCCCCTCGCCCGCAGGGACCCGTCGGTGAAAAGGACGCTCTGTCGTGGCTGCTCTTCTCTCCTCGTCCCAGGCCTGACCTGCACCCAGCGCCAGAGACGTGAGTGCGCCCGTGGGGGTGGGAGGCGTCGGCGGCCTGGGGCCTGGGGCGCCGGCCTTGGAGTTAGTGGTCAGCTCCGCTGGGGCAGCAGAGAGGTGTTGCTGTGAGAGGAAACCTCGTCCCAGGGTAAGAACAGATGTTATTTGGCAAAGTGGAGGGCGATTCCTCACCTTCGTGCAACAAATAACGTACTTTTATAAGATGTGTCAAGTGTTGAGCTAGCTTCATTATTTTCGTGGAAGGTATAGTTTCATGGGACAATCTAAGAGAGAAACAATGAAAATAGTGTAGAACGGTGATTCCAACCTTTTTCATTTCATGGCCCACAGAAACTAATTATTAAAATTTGCAGCACACCAAAAAAATGTATTTTTTGCTGATCTAACAAAAAAGTAGGTATAGACATCAAAGTTACAACTGAACTACAGAACAAACATCCTTCCAAACCACCTGAAATCAAGCTGAATGGAAGTCCTACAACTAGAAATTAAAGCAGCAGCCACATGGAGACTGGCAGGAGAGGCAGAGACAGGGATGGGCTGGTGGCAGATAAAAATCAGGAGGATACCTGGCTGGGAAGGTCCTCCTTGAGGAGTGGGGGGTGGTCCCTGTCCCACACCAGGCGCCAAGCTCAGGGTTCCAGTGCCAAGAAGAGAATCCCCATCACTTCTGGCTGCAAAACCAGTGGGAACTGAGGCTGAGGCTCAGGCTGCTGGAGCCGAGGCAGCTCCTCTTAAAGGGCCAGCAAAAGGACTTACTCAGACCCCCCTCCCTCTGAGCTCCAGCAAGGACAGGAGGCAGCTTGAAAGGCACCAGAGACATACAGGGAAGAACTGAGTTGTTTGGCATTGGGGCAAGAGCTGGAGAGGCAGCTTTGTCCCAGAGAGACCTGCAGGGAAAGGCCATTATTCCTTTGGTGACCCTTCTCTGACAATGCAGGGGGACGTCCACCATATCTGGGACTCCAGCAACCTGGTTCACACTGTTTGTCTCGCCCTGGTGATTCCCTGAGGCCCACCCAACTTTCAGGCCCACCCAAGGTGTTTCCAGTGGCTTTACCATAGGATTGGGCTGTTTTGGCTCCTGCTTCAGAGTTTCCTAAATTCTCTCAAACAAGTAGCATCTGGCAACAGCAAGCCCATACCTCTCATTAAGTGGCTCCAGGCCTGGCACTAGCTACAGCCAGCCTTGGTTCACAACTTGGCTTCACCTGGGTACCTCCAAGCCCAGCACAAGAAGCAGCCATCTGCAGATCACTTTGTAGCTTATTGCCTGGTGGCCCCGGATAGAACACAGGCAGTGGCTGACCTTGCCCCAGAGCCAGTACACCCAGTGGACAGCTTCAGACCACATTGAAGCCCCACCACCCAACCACCTCCACAGTGACACACTCAAGGAGTAGACTCAGGGGGTACCAGAGCCCTGCTGAAGTAAGTCTTGCTTTGTGTGGTGGGCCCTGCACAGCTGATCTTCCAAGTCAGAGGTCAGTGGTTAATGGGCACAGCCAGTCCAACATGCCAATAGCAATCAAGACTCAATTACAACAGAAGGGTGTAAAGTTGATAGGAGGGGTGCACCACAAGGCCCAGCTGGGGTGATAAGGGAAGCTGTGCCACTGGACCCTACAGGACACCTACTACAGCAGGCCACCCTAGGAAGCCTAGGAGACATAGCAAATCTACCTAATACATAGAAACAAATACAGGGAGGCAGCCAAAATGAGGAGACAAAGAAACATGTCCCAAATGAAAACAAAACTCCAGGAAAAGAACTGAATGAAATGGAGATAAACAATCTAACAGATACAGAGTTCAAAACACTGTTTATAAGGACACTCAATGAACTTAGTGAACATCTCAAGAGTATAATAAAGGACCAGTCAGAAATGAAGGATGCACTAACTGAAATAAAAAATAATTTATAGCCCTGGCCAGTTTGGCTCAGTGATTAGAGCATCAGCCTGTGGACCAGGGATTCCCGGGTTCGATTCTGGACGTACCTCGGTTGTGGTTTGTCCTTGGCCCCGGTTGGGGTCATGCGGGTGGCAACCAATTGATGTCTCTCACATCGATGTTTCTCTCTCTCTCTCTCTCCCTCCCTCCCACTCTGAAGATAAATGTAAAACTATCTCAGGTGACGATTAAAAAATAATAATAGTAATAATTTACGTAGAATCAAGCGTAGAGTAGGTCAAGCCAAGAAACAAACCACCGATTTGGAATCTAAGGAAGCAAAAAACACCGAATTAGAACAGCAAAAAGAAAACAATCCAGAAAAATGAGGATAGTGTAAGGAGCCTCTGGGACAACTTCAAGCATACCAACATTCACATCATGGTGCCAGAAGGAGAAGAGAGAGAGCAAAAAATTGAAAATCTATTTGAAAAAATGACAGAAAATTCCCTAACTTGGTGAAGGGAACAGACATACAAGTCCAGGTAGCACAGAGTCCCAAACAAGTTGAACCCAAAGAGGTCCATACCAAGACACATAATCATCAAAATGGAAAAGGTTAAAGACAAAGAATCTTAAAAACAGCGAGAGAAAAGCAATTAGTTACCTACAACAGAGCTCCTATGAGGCTGTCAGCTGATTTCTCAAAAGAAACTGCCGGCCAGGAGGGAGTGGCAAGAAATATTTAAAGTGATGAAAAGCAAGGACCTACAACTAAAATTACTCTCCTCTGCAAAGCAATCATTTAGAATTGATGGCCATATAAGTTTCCCAGACAAGAAAAAGCTAAAGGAGTTCATCACCACCAAACCAGTATTATGTGAAATGTTGGAGCGTCTTCTTGAAGAAGATAAAATATCTGAACAATAAAATGACAATTAATACATATCTATCAACAATTGAATCTACAAACAAAATGAGCAAGCAGAACAGAAACAGACCCATAGATTTAGAGAACTTTTTGTTAGTTTCCAGGTGGTAGTGGAGTTGGGTGAAAAAGATGAAGGGATTAGGAAGTACATTTTGGTTGTTAGACTGATGAGCCTAAAAGGGAAGGGGGGAAGTGGGGCGGGAAGAAAAACCAAAGAACTTATATGCATATATGCATAACCAGTGGACACAGCCAATAGTGTGGGGAAAGCAGGAGGGGGGCGGGGTTGGGGAAAAGCTGATCACGGGGGAAAAAGAGGGACATCTGTAATACATTCAGTAATAAAGATAAATTTATTTTTAAAAATAGGTATAATTTATTTTTATTCACAACAGATGGCTATTGTGTTGGCTGTTGTCATTTTTTTTTAAAATTCTTAACGGAGGATATGTTTATTGATTTGAGAGAGACAGAGAAACAACAATTTGATCAGGTGCCTCCCAAACCAGCCTGGACAGGGATAACTGTCAACCAGGAATCAAACCCACAGCCATTTTTGGTGTACTTGAGCCACCGGGCCAGGACCATTGTCATATTTATCTTGACAGTCTAAGGATAAAGAGGTCAGTGCTCCTGACTAGTCAGGTATTGCATATTTTAAAAATTATTGCAGCGCACTGGTGAAAATCACTGGTATAGAAAAACTTTAATTGTGGGACTACAGTGCTAAGTTACTTATGCCAGTGCTGGTGAGATTCATAAGAAGAAGGAGTAAGAGATGGAAGTTCTCAGCATGGGTGTTGACTCTGAGATGAGAGCTTGTGGTGCTGTCAAGAAAATGAGAATTTAGGAGGTAGGAGTTTGAAGTGCACAAGACATGAGGCTGGAGAAGGAATCGACAGAACTTGTAGAGTCTTGTAAAGGAGTTTGCACTTTATCTTGGAGTATCAAGAAATTGATAGTTTTGCAGGAGCCTCATACTATCAGATTTGCATTCAAAGTGTGGAGCAAGTGGAATTCCTACTGGAAATCAGTGGAGACAAAACTGGATTCAGACAACCTTTTCTAAACCAAGGCACTCTCTTCCATTTTCCCACGTTCATCCCAGGCTGCAGGGGACAGTGCTGGACAGTACAGACCTGCCTAACATGCCGGCGCAGCCAAAGGTTCCTCAACGATCCCGGGCATGTGCTCTGGGGAGACCGGCCTGAGGCCCAGCTAGGAAGCCAGTCAGGTGAGAAGTGGACAGAAATGTGGGTTATCCCAGGGGGGTAGGGATGATGGGGGACAAAGAACTGAAGGGGACACATAGGTGACTTCTGGGTTGGTGTGAGAGGTGCTACAGTCTTAGAAAATGCTGACTCTGCTCATCTTTCCAGATCCCAAACCACCACAGCCCCCACCAAATACAGCCCACCCCACTCCAGCCCACCTTGCTGAGGAGAAAGCACAGCCCCAGAGCTTCAGTCACCAGTGATGGATGCACCCTGTCTTCAGATAAATAAAGTCTAATTATGTTTCACTTTGGTGAGTCCGTAATGTAAGTATTTCAGCTCTTAATTCCATTTTCCTCTGTTTCTGTCTGTGTTTGTCTGTCACCAGATAATTTCTCCTTTGTCCTGTCTTTATCATACTCCGACTCCTACCATTCAGGGAGATCCTATTTCCATAGACCTCTTGGCCCCACTAAGCAGCTCGCATATCCAGGACCACGGACTCCAGTGCCCCTTAGCACCTAGTTCTCAGGGCAGTGCCACGTGTGGAACTCAGACTCTATGGCTGTCTGCAAGGGCCTGAGCCTTCTTAGGGCATTTTGTATTTAGGTAACACTGTTGACCAATGGGCTGGACAGACTGCTGATGCCACAGATGCTGTTTTTAAATGAGGAAAAGCAGTTGTGGGGTAGGGGCTTCAGATCCTCTCAGCCCACTTTAGAGTTTGTCTTTTCCAATCTCTGGGTTTTCTTCCTAAAAATATTAATAAGGAAAATTGTACAAACCCAAACTAGCAAGGTCAAAGGTGATAACGAAAGAACATGGCAAGCATCACATAAGTATGCTCTGTAGGTAAACCCTCAAGTTTTCTTGAGAAGTAGTAAACAACAGTTTTCTTCAGTATTCCTAGAGAACCTGCTCAAGGACAGAATTTCAGCCTGCCTCTTTGCTAGCTGCCAGCTAATGAGTGTACTACAAAAGTATGCAAACAATTTACTATCTCAGAATGCAGTTTTCTTCCCTTTCTCTTATAAATCCTGTGTTGCATTTACTTATTGCTGCATTAAAATCAACAACTTCATTAAAACACTTTATAATGCTGTGGCTTAAAACAACAGTGGCTTATTATTTCCCCTGCTTCTGTGGGCTAGGCTGTCTGAAGGCTTGGCTAGGTGGCTCTTCTAAATAGCACCACCTGGAGTTATTCCGCTGCATTTAGCTAGTGACTGGTACCTGGTCTGGAAGTCCAAGAAACTTCACTGTGCATGGATGGCACCTCATTGCTTCTCTATGTGGCCTTGTTACATAGCTGGCTAACATTCTCACAGCATGGCTGTCTCAGGGTGGTTAGACTTTTTTCCAAGAAGTCAAGCTCCAAGGTGTGTTTATCAAGCCTCTGTTCTCACCATGCTTGCTAATTATTGTCCCCTTGACCAAAGTCAATCACATGGCCAAGCCCAGATTCAACACCAAGGCATGAATACTGAGAGGTTCATTGGTTCCCTGGGGATCACTGATGTGGCATTCTGCTGTGTCTTTGTTTTGCCTTTGTCCCTGACTCAGTCTCCACTTACTCCTTTACATGTCAGTAAGTTATTCACATGGAAAATATTGAACGGTGTGCAAATAAATAAATGTTTTTTGAGTTACTCTTTCACAGTTTATTTCTGGTGTTAATGCCTACTTGGGCCAACTGTAGCACACAATAGAAACATGTAGCCTATAAGTGCATTCTGTGCAGACCTGGACCCTTTTTGTCTTCTGCTGAGCTTTCCTGGCTGCACCCACAAGTCTCATTTCTGAGCAGCTCATTGGCTCTTGCACACTAAATCTGATTCTTAGCCAAGTTTGTTTTGAGTGTGATTATGATTGCACATGACTGCACATGCCCACAGTGGAATAGCAGTGGGAAATCTCTGTGGTTTGATTTCATGGCTGAGCCTTTAAGTGATCCTGTAGTGTGAGAGACCATAGGAATCGTGTCCCAATTGGGAGGCAGATGAACTAATGTAGAATGTGGTTCACTTATGAGTCTGGCTTGTTGGTCTGTTTTATGCTTGCATCAGTATAGGTTCCTCTAACTACACATCATAGCCCTCTTCCTCCTCCCAAAACTCTGTTCTGTTTCTTGTTTACTGATGAGGACATGACAGTTGCCAATATATGCAAAAAATGGATTTCCTATAACAGAGGAAACCAAATCTCTAGTGTACAAAAGTCAGCTTTCTTTAATGTTTCTAAACAGTTTAGCATTTAAAATTTGTGTTCTTTTGGGACTCTTTAAATAAAATTAAACAGACAAAGAAAAAACTTAGATCTTTCCAAATGAATTTAAAAAAATGAGACCTTCCAAATGCAATAGAAACCAAGATTTAATTAATCCCCAAACCATAGGTACATTTAGCACTTTTTAAAACTGGTAAACATGAGTATCATTATTTTCAAGGGGAGAGCAAGAGAGAAAGGAATTGAGAGACCATTCTTCTGAATCAAAAGAGAATTAGAAAATTACTTAGATTTTCAACAAAGGGAATAATAAATCTAGTTTTGTCTACATCACATAGTTACTGTAACTATCAAATGAGAATATATGTGAAGGCACCTCGCAAATGGTATTATAGCCCTGGCCGGTTTGGCTCAGCAGTTAGAGCATCGGCCTGCGGTCCTGAGAGACCTGGGTTCAGTTCCCGCTAAGGGAATGTACCTCGGTTGCGGTTTGTCCCCCGCCCTGGTTGGTCGTGCGGGTGGCAGCCACTCGATGTGTCCCTTTCACATTGATGTTTCTCTCTTTCTTCCTCTCTCCCCCTCCCACTCTACCTGAACAAAAAATAGAAAAATATCCTCGGGTGAGGACAAAAAAAAAAAAAAGAAAGAAAGAAAATGGTATTGTAGGGCATTGTAATAAAGTGTAAGTAATAATCATAATATTTTGGGAGTAATAAGTACCAAAATATCTTAGAAAAGACAGGTCCTCGACATCGAGGAATCTGAATTATTGTCCCCATGATACATGTTTGTAAAATGAGACAGTTTGACAGTGTTCTTTTCCTATAGTTTCTTCCAACTCTGGAGACTGACAGATGAAGTTAGCCAGTTTTCCCACTAGATGTCAAAAGCAAGGGTTTCTTTTAGATTTTTCATGTACTCATTAAATATTTCCAGAGGACCTACTCTGTGGCAGGACATTGCTCAGGACCTGGGACCCACATGAGTGAACAACAGATGGAAGGAAGATTAGCAAGAAACAATGTATGATAAATTATATATCATAAAGGATACATGCAATGGAAAAAATAAGGAAGGTGAGGAAGCTGTGGGGTGTAGCTTCCAGTTTTAAATCAAGCAATCAAGGTAAGCAGCACTGAGAAAGTGACCAGAGCAGACTGAAGGAGCCTCTTCTGTGTCCACTCAGACAACCCCAGAGAAAGTTACTTCCTGCAGCTAATTCACATGCATGACAATAGCTGCTGTCTCTGCCAAAGAGTGTTATCTGGAAGCAGGAGCCATGCAGAGTGGGCCAACTGTATCAGGAAATAATGTCCCTAGGAGTGACCCCAAACAGTGAGGAATGAGAATTGGTGGATGCTCTACATAATCCCTCAGTCTCCAGCAAGGTTTAACCCTGGTGACACCAGTGCTTAGACATGCCTTTAAAAAAGATATTTTTTGTTGTTAATCTTCACTCAAGGATGATTTTTCCATTGCTTTTTAGAGAGAGTGGAAGGGAGGGAGGGAGGAAGAGAGAGAGAAACATCAACTGCTTGCCTCCCACACATGCCATGACGAAGGCTGGGGATTGAACTTGCAACCCAAGTACATGCCCTAGACTGGAAATCAAACCCATAACCCTTCAGTGCGTGGGCCAATGCTGTAACCACTGAGTCACACCAGCAGAGCTAGACACACCCTTTATGCATTTCCCTCCCGTTTCACTCCCCACTTCCTCACCATAATTCCTGGGATAATCTTCCAGGTAAACTACCTGCACCAAAATCTTTGTCTCTGGGTTTGCTTTGAAGGAACCCAAACTGAGAGTGACATTTGAAAAAAGACTTGGAGTAGGTAAGGGATCTAGCCATGTAGATATCTAGGGTGAACCTTCTGGGCAGAGGGAACAGCAAGGGCAAAGGTCCTGAAGTGGGAGGCCTGCTCAGGGCATTCTAGAGTCAGAAAAGCCAGTGTGAATGGAACAGAGTGAGCAAGATGGAGAGTAATCAATGTGGCCAGAGAGCTAATAGAGGCTAATCATAAGAAAATTGTTCATTGGGAGGCCATTGGAATATTTTAGCAAGGAAAGATGGCTTAATATTTTAAAACGATCACTCTTCTTTTTTAAAATATTTTCTTCAATTACAGTTGACATTCAATATTAGCTTCAGGTGTACAGTATAGTGTTGGACATTTATATAACTTAGGAAGTGGCTCTCCCAATAAGGCTAGTGCCCACTGAGCACCATGCATAGGTATTACAACATTACTACCTATATTCCCTGTGCTGCACTTAACATCCCTGTGACTATTTTGTAACTGCCTGTTTGTACATTTTAATCCATTTATCTTTTTCACCCATTCCCCAACCCTTCTCCCATCTGGCAACCATCAGTTCGTTCTGTGTATCTATGAGTCTGTTTCTGTTTTGTTTGTTCATTTACAGTCAAACCTCAGTTCTTGAACGTCTCACATCTTGAACAGTTCTGGTTCTCGACTAAGTCGTTCACGGAAAATGTCTGTTGTTGAACAGAACTTTGGTTCTCGACCCAACAACCCTCTCATGCTGATACCTGTGTGATCAGTCGCATGTTTCTCAGATGACAAAGGAGAGAATGCGCAAATATGAGTCATTTTACCGCTAAAGCTCGCATTGTTAACTTCTCAGGAAATTGTGTTCTGAATGTTTTCATGGGGTTTTTTTTTGCTTTTGTTGCTGCTCATTATTATTAAATACATACAGTAAATCACCATGGGTCCTAAGAAGGTTAGTGATAGCAGCAAAGTGAAAAGGAAAGTTGTGAGAACAACAATAGAGCTTAAAAAAGAAATAATTGCAAAGTATGATAGAGGTGTTCGTGTCTCTGATCTGGCTATTGAGTATGGCATGGCGAAGTCAACAATTAGTACAATTTTAAAACATAAAGAAGCCATCAAGAGTGCTGATGTTGCTAAGGGTGTGAAAGTGCTCACAAAACAACGATCACAGACAATTGAAGAGGTAGAAAAATTGTTGTTGATTTGGATAAACGAAAAGCAGTTAGCCGGTGATAGCATTTCGGAGGCAATGATATGTGAAAAAGCGAAGATGCTGCATGCTGACCTCCTGAAAGACACC